ACACACACACACACACACACACACACACACACACACACACACTCACAGCGACCTCATTCGCCATCGGATTGGCTTCCCTCGAATTCAGATGACCGTTCACTGCAGTTATCTGAATCGGGGTCATCCTCGACAACCTCCGCGCGAGCCTTGCTCTGGCGATTTTTTTTATTTTATTTTTTCACCGGGCTCGGCGGTCTTCAGCTTGCGGGGCCTGCCACGAGCACGCTTAGGCTTCACAGCAGCATCTTCCACCGGTTCCTTCCTCTTCCTCCCCCCCCTGCTCACCCACAGGTTGTCATGTTGGACAGCCTCATTGCTCAGAGGGAAGTCGGGTGCGTTTTCGACAAACTGTTCGGACACAACCGGTCGTTGCCTACGCTTGTACACAGCCTTCACTGCAGGCTGGTGCTCCTCTTCACCGTCCTCGTCATCCGCGTTGTGCTGTGTGTCCTGTTGATCCATGCCCTCCGCGTCTTCTTGCTGTTCCATGGCCTTCTCCACTCCTTGACTTTCCATCCCCGCCTTGTCCTCTTCATGCTCCATCTCCTCGTCCTCTTCATGCTCCATCTCCTCGTCCTCCTTTCCGTGCTCCTTCTCCTTCTCTTGTAGGTGGTCCATGTCGTCGTTGTCCTCTTGCTGGTCCTTCTCCTCCGCCTCTTTGCGGTGCTCCGCCTTTTGCTGGTCCGCCTCTTTGCGGTGCTCCGCCTCTTGCTGGTCCGCCACCTTCAAAACTGGTCCACTTTGCGGTTGCACTTCCTCATCTCCCTCTTGCACAGTGTCCAATGCCCGACGTGTCTCCGGTTCCTTCTCCCCAACCTTCTTCTTGCGTCTCTCCATCTCCCTCCGGGTTGGGACTGCTTTGCGTCAGGCATCCTCTTCCATGATCCGTTTTTGGACGGCGTCTCTATCGCGATCTGCCAATGCCTTCGCACGGTCGGCCTCCGCCTCGTCTTCATCAACCGGACCACTTTGCAGCAGCAACTCGACGTCGGTGTCCATGTGATCGAACTCGACATCGGACTGAGGATGGTAATGGGAGGAGCTTTCCACCCGGGCGTGTGTAGAGACCGCGGGCTGCTTCTCCTTCCGACGCTCTGCAGGTTCTCTCCTACCAACATAAGTAGTGCCCTGGACCGATGGCTGGGCTCCCAGGTCAAAATCGGAATCACTTTCATCCTCCTCCTCCTCCGCGCCGCTCGCCTCATCCGACAATCCAGACTTCCCCTTCCACAACTCATCCTCCAAGTCACTGTCGTCGGTGCACTCATCCTCTTCGTCCTCGAGCTTCTTTGGAATCCTTCCCTTCGGTGTCTTCACGAAGCTACTCTGCCGCACCAGCTCCTCATCCGTCTTCTCAGTTTCATCCTCAGGGCCCCTCAAGACAGATCCATCGTTCTCATCTGGCTCCTGAATAGCCTCGAAGAACGAACTCCACAAATCAACGTAGCCCTCGCCGTTGGCACTGCTGTTGTTGGCAGCACGCAACAATTGCATGTTCCAATGGATGTACACCAGCTTCTCCAATGTTTCGGGCTTCAAGTTGTTCCTCCTTTTCGAATGCACGAAGTCCATGGACGACCAATTCCTCTCAGCCGGGGTTGTTGTACTCCACATGCCCATCACTTTGATGGCAATGGCCTGCAAGTCGGGGACATCGCCACCATAAGTCGCCCACCACTCTGACGGTGTGAGCTTCTCACAATCGACCTTCGCATCGGGCTTCCACATCTTCTTGTCCTTTCTCTTGGGCCCGTTCGGCGTGGGCTCCTTGTGAAACTCATGCAGGTCACCCAAAACCTCAAGGTGGTATGGCCCTGTCCAAGGACCTCCAACCTGTCTCTGCAGGTAATGCATCGCGTTCTGCACAATTGCACTGTCCCGATCATACAACCACCGTGGATTTCTCCTGCGCGGGTCCAGAAGAAACGCCAGTGCATGTACTGGTTGCCGCATCATCTTCACCCGATCTCTCACTTTGTCCATGACGCTCGCCCGCTGCTCCTTAGTGAGAACGACGTGAGCCAGTTTCCTCTCAATCATGTCGTCGTATTTGACAATGTTTGTCGGCGATGTTCCATCCCGGTCCATCCTCCTGAGAAGGTTGTACAACGGTTCCATGACATCCACCACCTTCTTCAACTCCGTCCACCATCCATCTCTCCTCATGGTGAAGTAAACCAGGTCCGCTTTCGACTTCAACTTCGTAGTGGACCAACGGATCCGCGTCCACCGCGCTGCATTTTTCCGATCCACCATATCTGACAACACTGCCTTCCTGTTCAGAAGCCTCTCCAACATCATGTAAACGGACCCGAACCAAAGTTCCGTAGGACGAAGCAATGTTAGGGAATCGTCCATGGACATCATCAGGCTATTCGTGGAGTGGTGGTTCCGGATGAACTTCACAATCGTGTGGCCTCTTTTGACAGTGCTCTTCACCCAGTCTAGCTTGCTGATGTCTCGCAGCAAAAGGCTGCAACAATGCGCAGCGCAAGGTACCCATGGAATCCGTGCAAATGTCCTTGTCAGTGCGGCGCTCCAAAAGCTGAGCAGCCTTCTTGTTCACTTCGGCATTGTCAGTGCAGATCGCGTTGATGCGATGCACCCCTATCTCCCTCATGATCTGCTCCCACAACTTTGCCAATGCCTGCGCTGTTTTCTTCCTTGCCGTCATTGACACCGTGGCCACCTGAACTGCACCCTTCTCCCCCGCTGCCAAGAAGTTCATGACGGGGCGCTCTCGACGGTCGGATGACCCGTCCGTGATGAATGTACAGCCTGATTCATCCCAACAGGTTGTCAGAGGATGCACTTGCTTTTGAATTCGCAAGTACATGAAGTTGAGCATCACCGTCCTCATATGGTTGTACGAGGGCAGCTTGACCTTCGGTCGAGCACTCGCCACTTCCAAGTAAACTTCGTGAAGCTTCTGCGTCGTGTCGAATTTTAGGAAGTTAAACGCAATGCCAGCACGGAACATCGCCTCCGCCCACACAATATCCAGCTTCTTTTGTGCATCGTTGTCCAGCCATCTCTTCATTGATGTTTGCTGCAGTGATGCCACCCTCGTGTTCGACCCTGAACCCTCCGCTGGCCCCTCCTCTGCAGCGGCGACCGACTCTGTTCGGGAAGCTGTTTTCGGTGGTGCCATCCCCGCAGCGGTTGGTGGTTGCGTCTCCTCGTACCCGCAAATGACCGGCTCGGAGTCCGCGTCCTGAGTCTCCATCGTAGTCGTCCCCCCTTCCGCAATGCCATGCAACTGTCTATAGTTCTTGAGGAGGTACTGCGTCTTTTTGTCGCTTAAGCACCTTGGCACCGGTGACAACGAGCTTGTGCACCATCTCACCTGTCCTCAAGGGACACGGCTTCAACAACTTCATAAAGTGTTCCACTGCCCTAGTGCTCGTGCACCTCCAAATTTGCGTGCATAGCCGGCACTTCAGACAGTACTTTCCTCGACCCTTCGGCATGGCTTCTTGACCCTGTATAACGTACTTCCACACTTTCCGAGTACGCTACAGTTGTTGTTGCCTTGTCTCATCCTGAGGAACAAACAGAGAGGGGTCTGACGCCGGCGTGGGATCCTTTGCAGTCACCCCGGATGCGGGAGCACTACAACTGGCACTGGCCTTTCCTCTTTCCGTCCATCCTGATGGAGGTCTCCTCCTTCCGGATCCGCCACTGCCACCGCCTGCTGCAACGCCACTGCCGCCGCCGCCCGCCATTGAACAGCAACGTGTGGAAGCACTCACCAACAAACAGCGAACGCACCCCTCTTGGCCCCCCTTTCAACCTTTCAAATAAAATAAAAAAACGTGGGATATGGTGAATGT